CTGAATATTGACAAAATCTGGCAATATACTATTTGCTATACAAATTCATAAGAATAAATAAGTAATTTAATTTGAAAGTTTTGCCAACATTTCTCATTGAAATTACATGGGGGATTTTGCTTCATTTTTTATAACTAGCTCTAAACACGTTAAATATTTAAATTACTAAAATCTTTGTAATTTTAATCGTAACTTATTTTTTAAAAAGATCCAACATTATTCTGTTTATCACCAAAGTCTGCATTTTATAAAATAATAAACTTGAAATTATTAAAAGTTTGTATCTAACTTTTTGCCCTTATGTCCCAGATCAAATCTGAATAATTCATTGGAAAGAGAACAAAAATCAGTCAAGATTAAATGGCACCAAAACCCAATATATTTTTTATAAGGATTCCCAAATTATTCTTGTCAATATTCAACATTTAATGTCTTTGTGTCTAGGTAACATAAAAATATAATCATATATACCAAAAATTGCAAATATTTTACAATAATATTTATTACACAACAACCTTTTAAAAATACCAAAAAGTTATATAATTTATTTTAAGGCAATACAGGTATTGGTAGGTAATTAAACATAAAGTATGGCACTTTGATAAATAGCTATTGATTATTAAATAAGTTCATCCTTGAAAGTACTCTTATTTGTAATATGTACTGTCTCATTCTGCCGGATATCAATACTTAATACTGTATATTATTTCAAAATTATCTAAAATATGATATCTTAGATATTAGTAAATAAAATGGCATAATAAGTCACATAGCATTTAGGCATGTTCACATATTACGTTCGCACTTGGGGGGTCGGCCAATGCGAACTTTTGCGAACGAGTGGGGGAGGAAGGGGGTTGAGACCCTAAGAACCTTCGCATATAAATGATTCTAACGATTAAGATTAGATTAACGATTTTCCATCTATTTATTAATGAACTTTCATCTGAAAATTTTAAAATTATTTTAAATTTAGTTCTAATAATTAAATTACTATTAAACATTGTGTTTTCGGAGAGCATTGCAAGTAAGCATACGTTACCGAGATAAGTGCTTTTACGATGATAGCCATCATATATTTATATCATTGAAACATTTTCTATCAGCTTAAAGTCATTTGCATATAAAATATAAAATTATGATCAATGTAATATCAAGATTTCTGCTTTGGTTTTATCGCATTCATGGCATTACATTCGGCGGACTCACCATTGATTCACATTTACATCAAGATTTTAAAATTAAATATATTGGCTATTTGACAATTATACCTGTGATTGGTGCTTATATTTTGCATATTATTTTCATTGTAACAAATTTTGAACTATTTATGGTGGATGCATTTCATGGGAAATCGGAATATTATTTTATTTTGTTACCTAGTTACATTTAATAATACAATTAACTTTGGCGAATCAAGTAAATTAGCTTGCTAAATTTACGTTTAACTATCCCTGACATCCTCATTTTGTCATTGATATAACATTAGATTTAATTGTATATAATGTTATACTATTATTTTGTGTACATATATCGGTAATTATTTCTAAAATTATCTTTTGATTAATGGCATAAAGCAGTCTCAGAAAATTACACAATTCAACTTATGTACAATCCATAAAACTTATGTTATATCAATGACAAAATGAGGATGTCAGCGATAGTTAAACGTAAATTTAGCAAGCTAATTTACTTGATTTGCCAAGTTTAGTCAATTCAAAATGTTAATTTTGTTACTGGCTAACTAATTACAACAATTAAAACCAGTCAATCGAGATTTGTGCCTCGATGTTCCCAACTCAGACAATTCATGTTAACAAGTTTCACTTCAAGGTATGATTTTATTTTGACCAAGATTTTACTTTATAAAACTAGTAACCATATGGTAAACGTATGACAATGTGACGCTTGTATTGCTTATATTTCGTACATCTAATCTAGTTTTAAAAGCTAATTTTATTAAATTAAAAATTAAAATCTAAGTTTTGTAGGTATTTAATGAAAATATTAATATTACGACACTGGACTCTCTTTTAGTGAGCGGGGTCAACTGTCCAGAACAATCAAAGAATTTGCAGGATTAAACATGAATACAAAATTATAACACATAAGATACTAATACCATGTGCGGGTATTTTGTACTGATACTAGTACCAATACGAGACGATCGGTACAGGATTGACCTGGACCATTATAATTATCATCAAAATTATATCATTTATATTATATCTGCAATCAGCTTTTTATTAATTGTAATAATATCACCTAGTTTCAATAAGCTTCATAGGTTACTGTGGCCCGACATATATGATAGGAAACTCACAACTCTTTGGTTCGTTAGGATTTTTAACTTCAATGACTACAATTATTGTAAGCATGGTCTTTAATATCAATGAATATAGAAATAAATTATTAATTACATATGTAATCAATGATGTGAAACACAAACGATCTGTTTTACCCGTTAGTTACAGAAATGCTCAGAAAGTTAACCTAATATTCAATACTTATATGAAATTATTTATCTCTCCATTAATCACTGGAAATACAAGTATTTCATCATTACTTTTAGTAATGCCGACAATTGTAGCGTATTTTGACAGCCATTATAATTACACCCTGATATTTGAGTTTATAATATACAAAAAGATCAATCGATGAATAAAAATGAAGGACTATTAATGTAAGCTAAACACTAAGTTTGAAAACTTTTATTAGTTTGAATGAGTAAACTCTGCTTTCAATGTAAAATTATTTATCAATAGTCATTCATTTTTATTCATCGATTGATCTTTTTGTATATTATAAACTCATATTATATATTACTGATAATATATGATAATATTTCTAATTTACATGATATTCATTAAAGTAGGCTAAACTTGTTTACTTCATAATTAATATTTAAACTACATAGACATAAGCACTTTGTTTTTTATTTTAGCTGAAGATATTGTAATAATACTTTTTAGTTACGTTTGTCTATATATACTGTACTGGTCATATTTATATCTCATAAGAATATTATTTTTCTAATCAATTCGTTGACACCAAATATGTTTATTGAGACAATCATTATACTGTACAGTATTATCGAGAGGTCAATAAAAGTGGTATTTTCGGTAAACATTGCAATTGTGTTCAACAATCACTAAACGATAGTTGTTTTCAATAATTATTATGATTAATACCCCTATATTATTAATAATGGATATTGGATTCATTTATAGTCTATAGATATGAATTCAATAGAAGGAAATCTCAATAAAAAAATCCTGGGAAAGGTTTATAACCTTTCATATCAATATTTTCTGTACAATACTGCTAATAATAATAATGTATACAATGAGAGCACTTAGAGGTTAGTTACACTTACTTATTGTGTCGAGAATTCGTATATTTAAATATTCATAATATGATAAATGTTTTTATAATACACAAAGTTTGAAATTTGCATTTATTCTCTGCACTGAAATTAAAGAATTTTTATGAATTATGCTAATATTTGCTAAAACTGTTTATTATTATATTAATAACTATATTATTTTACAGTATTTTATTATAATTTATACAATGTTCTAAATCTAACAAAATCTTATGTTCTATAAGCTATACTATACAGTAATTGTATAAATATTCATATATAGATATGCAGTAAAACTCATAGAAAGTGTGTTTTATTTAAATAACTCCTACACACGAATTCTGCAATCCTTTCAAAACTAGTCAAGTGTTGCACTGAAATCTCTATTAATGTTGATATTATATAAGCATCAAAATTATATCTTTAATAGTTATATCGCATCAACACTTAATCAACAGCTCATCTCTTTTTCACATTACTATTTAAACATAACTATACTTTCAATATTGATTTGCACTCTGTTTTACTGCATACATACAATTATATCAAAATATCATACTTATACTTCTCATGAATAGATCATTAAACCTGATAAATAATATAAAAAGTTTAAAAACCCAAATGCATCATATTTGTCAAACGAATAATTATACAATATACAGTAATTATATAATTTTTGTGCACATTTTTTTGTATACTAGTATATATAGAATAAATGATTTAAAAAGTGATATAAAGACTCCTGCAAAAATATACAGTTATAAATATATAAGTTACTAAATTATTAATTCTAAAATATACAAACTATGGCACAAACTTAAATTGTAATTTAAAAGGCGATAATAATTGAACCAATTTAAGTGTATTAATTTTTAAATCTTTTAACTATCATATAATTTTACAAATGAGTTAATTTTTAAACACATAATAAATAATTTAATGTAATACAGGTTTAGATTCTGTTACAATTTTGTAGATATTTTATAACTAACAAGTAAGTTAGCTTATATTAATTTATTTTATTTAAATTACAAGAACTATTTTTTACAATAAACCATTTATTATTATTTATAGATGTAATTAAATTTAATAAACAATATAAACTTAAATATGTTTAAATATTAAACAATTTAGTTGTTTTATTCCTTTTTTGATAACTCTATCAATCATTTTATGTACACTATTCACAAGATTATCTTTTGGATACTCTACTCACATATTTTGACACAATTATCAATGACATTATGAACAGTCGTTTTAGTATTTAGTATTTTTCCCTAGTTTTGTCAATTTATTTCATACATCATCGGTTAAATTATGGACACTGCTCATTTGGATTTGGAAAGATTTTATTCATATTTAACAGCAATTCTTCTCTAACTATCGAATTACATGTTAAATGTGTTAATCGTTTTCTTTAATTCAGTGATTCACTCATCAATACAAACTGATGGGCAAATAAGCACTCATTACCCATTGCTTTAATTGTTTAAAGTTTTCATTAAGTGTTTTAATTATTTTGCAAAAACTCAACATTTGGTTCAATCCAAAGTTTGGATTCCACACAATGACTAAATATACAGAATATTCTGGAGGAATATAATCACTATAACGGCATCTATGATCACAAACTATAATGCGTTTGTGATAAAATGACATTTTATATTATATTCTGTTCCTAAATATTGAATATTCTTGCAATTCTTGCGCATTGAAAATGTTTGTTTTGAAAATTGCAATTTTTAATAATTTTATTTTCTGCGAAATGTCAATAAAATGCTACTGAGGATGAGTGCACTAAGAAATGTACTCTTATGATAATGCTCATTTCAAATCAATAGTACTAATGCATTTAAGACATTTAAACATTTAAGACATTTAATGAATTAAGGCATTTAAAGTGATTTAAAATAATNTAGTACTAATGCATTTAAGACATTTAAACATTTAAGACATTTAATGAATTAAGGCATTTAAAGTGATTTAAAATAATAAATATGATTTAGATAATGTGCTTATTTCTGAAAGTTGTGCTTGCGTTTATTTTGCCTCCAGCAGCCGTGCTGTTGGACAGGGGCTGTAATCTAGACTTTTTAGTAAACATTTTGCTGACAGTGTTTGGTTGGCTCCCGGGCTTCATTCACGCCATGTTTATCATATGTCGCGGCAGTCATGACCAACAGCACATCCATCACATCCATACGACCCAACATATAATAGTGGCAAATGAGCCCCAAATGATGGCTAATCAACTTCCCTCTGTTGTGTATGCGGTCGCACCTCCACCTCCTTATAATCCACAATATCCGCCCTCTGCGCCCCCATACGTCCCATGATTTTCATTTAATAGTAATTAATTAAATGTTAATCAATTTATGATGAATTTATGAATATAATGTATAAATAAATAAATAAATAATGTACTGTATTTAATATTTAGATTTAAATTATTGCAATTATATTTAATTTCTTATTTCTTCTAAACTTATCTGTTATTTTTAAATTCAATATTGTAAAACAGATTTTTATATTTTTCAAATAAATAAACTCCCTGTCCATGAGAACAAATTTTGAAAATACAAAATAAAGTACTTTTTTTAGCATTGTCTTAATTTCTATATTTCCTATTCAAATTATACTCAAAATAAAAATCAATTCTTTGACAAATGTTTTAATCATAATTTATTTTTTAATTACAATACAATTGTATTCGTTATAATTTGGATTGTTGTTGATATTGTATTAAAATTTTTAAATAATTAATAATTAGTTACTTAAAACTTCATAAATTATTATTATTATTATTATTTAATATTTTACATAAAATTTGTTGACTAGAATTTACTCAATTCTACTCTAGTAATATATTTTTAAAATATTATTTTAAAAATATTAACAACAATAATAATAATAATAATATTTGATTACAATATGTTACTCAATATAGACAATAAAATAACATTTCAATTATCAAATAATAGGCTTAACTGAATCATTGTTTTGACAATTTCATTTTTGTATGTTTAATATAAATTTACATATTTGGTTTGAAAATTTAATAACCATTAGTTTGAAATATTTAATAATAATAATAATAAGTGAATAATAAATATTGATTATTATGTCATTATCTGTCGATAATTAAGAAACTAATAATTTATTAGCAATAATCAATGTTTATATTCATGTTATATAATATAATAGTATATTATATATAATAAACGTTTAAATTTGAGATCCATGTGTTTCGCTGCCCTCCACCTGAGCCTCAATGAGATACAGGTCTTTGAGAGGGGAACTAAATCGGGAATTAATTTCCAAATAACATATAATCCAACAAAAATACATATATATATTACTCACAACAAAACAATGTGAAACTAATTTCAGGGTTAATTACAAGATTTCTCGAAATCATATTTTAATTGGGAATATAAAGTGCTTTTTTATACGTGAGGTCTAAATAATTAGAATACTGTAATAGTATGGTATTTACAATTTAATAATTATTTCATATGATTTTGAGATTTGGAAAACAAAGTAGAATGTATTTGTAAATTGTTTTAAATAAATATTTCATTTTCAAGACATTTGGTTTAATTTCAAGAAAAATTCACTTCAATTGTACATTTTTAGTACATTTACCAAAACATAGACAATCTGTTTAATTTCACTCATGTGTTCACTTTGACATTCATTTGCAATACTGTGGTGAACCTAACATAACATCAATATATCTCTTAAATAATAAATCACTAATTGATTTGAATTGTTTTTGCTTTAGGTTAATATAATTTTATTGGTTTGCTTAAGATATGGAAATGTATGGCATATATGGCACTCACAATTTCACGGTTTCCTCTGTTAGACACTCTCTGTCTCTATATGTATTGATTTGAAGATTAATTTATGAGTTATAGTCTATAATATCAATAATAATTGAAGAATAAATTTTGGTTTTGGTTTTTAAACGAAATGGTTAAATGTATTGATATTTGAACAGTTTGTGGGAATGTTTTGTGCATTTTTATGTTTTTACCAGTATTTTATATTTTTATCATTTACATAAAACAAAATATCCAAAACCACAATTAAAGCACTCACTTAGAAAATACAAAATTCAGACAAAATGAACATAAATGGTTAAAAGTATTAAATACTCTGCTCTAAAAGACTTAGATTTTAAAAATCTATTACAAAATAATCAAACAAAAGTTCATATCAAATTGAATATAATGTTGATTTTAGGTAATATAATAATAATTACTAAAATTGTTTAAAGTTGTCTTTAGCCCAAAAGGTGTTTATACTTAAGATATATATTTATATGTAATCACATGATATAATAAGATAAATACTCTGAAAACAATACAATAAAATTTGTTTAGAAAAACACAAGTAATTACTCGACGATTGAAAAACACAATAATAATAAAAAGTTGTCTCTTAAAATATCTGAAGTATGAATGAAAAAAGTGTTTTTATATATTTTCTTTAGTTTTCTTTTCCGCCGCTATCTTCCGGATCCTTTAGGGAATGCCACTGAGCTATAGGTCTTCGGGGCGACGCCAACATATCCATCCAATGTCTCAGTTCAGTACCCGAGGCATTACAGCCCAACACAACCTGTCGTACAATTACACACACAACCAGATTGTAATACATTTCAATAATATGTTAATTATTCAATAAACACTTTTTATAGTTTTTGTGTCCAATTAAGTAAATATATATTATCTCTCTTCCGATCCACAGTTGTGTCGGAATTTATGAACTTTTAACCCGATTTTAATTCACATTTCATATATACCGTATATATATAAATGTAAATTCTGTATATTTATCTTACTTTAATTAAACGACTATTTTTAAATTATATAAAATAAAATAAAATAAATCATCTAAAATTGAACTATGTTGCAGTTATCATAAAAACTATACGCATTACATAAAATTATAAAATAAATTGTTCAAGTAAAATAAAATGGCATACTTTGCCAATTGGTTCGGAAGTGCCGATCCTATCGTAGTCGACAACAGTGACCACTAACTGGACTTTTTGAATTTGTTCAAACGGTACCTCAAAAGTAAACGATTCGTTATAATAAGGATTAAGTGTACACTTCTTTATGGATGTCTTTTTCTTCTTCAATCGCTTTCCTGAAGAGGTTTTTAATTAAGAAAAGAGAGAATAGAAAATCAATATTATATATCAGTCTTATTATTAATCGTGTTTTCATTAGACTAAATATTTTACTCTTATTCATTCCTATACCAAGTCATACAATAATATTATTTTAGTCATATCTTATATCATAATATAAATGTTTTCTAGAAAATTCTAGAAAACATTTATTCTTTACAATATTTTTTGTTTGTTTATAAATAGTTTAATAAATAATAGACTTTACGGCACTGATATTGTTATCCAGGTATTCCAAAAATCAATTATTAATGAGGCTCTATAATCATTTGAATTATATATGATATGTGTTTAATATCAAAGTTCATTTCAAATTCTTTGTACTTGTATGTTTTTGTCTGAAACTAATTTCCATATGTCGGAGACTTTTATATACATTTTGTTATGAAATCGTGAGATTTGTTAGGATTTTTTGAATTAACTTGAAATGAGAAATATATTTTTGCTTTTTTTGTTTCATTAAAACGAAACTTTATATTTTCATGTAAAGTAAGCACAGTCAAATCCTTTTATTATTAGACTATATTTTTATAAACTTAAAATAATTCAAAAATATAATTATATTATTTAAATATTATTAACTTCACCAAAATAGCATAAATAAATTATATAAAAAGTTCTCAATTGGTTAATATGAATAGTTTTTAAATCTACTATAAATTTTTAAAAATTTTAATTTTTGTTATTTATAATTTCATAAAATCTATACCTTTAATGATTTAGCTCATGAGTCTCTATAAAACTTATGCAATATCATATTACAGAGTATTTATTTTTAGAAAATGGTTGTAATTTGAAAACAAATTATATTTTCTTTAGACTTTTTAAACATATTTTTGTTATAGATTATGAGAAATTACTTTTTTTAAAATATCAATTTGAACTAATATTTTTAAACATATTTTTTATAAAATAATATTTTATATGCAAAGTTTAATTTAAAATACTAATTAATTAATATTATTAAAATGTCAAAATTTAAATGCTTAAGTTATAAAAAATATTCTTTTTCAAAAAGATTATACTGCTTATATTAAATATAATTTATATACTTATCTTATGTATACATTATAGGACTACTTATGACTATTATAAGAAAAAATAATGTGAAATACAATATGATGATATAAAATGACAAACCATTCATCATGAGTGCAATTTTAACATAAGGGTCACTGAGTCCTCCGACGTCCATCTTTTTGAGATTTTTGGCCTCAAGTATAACAACCGTTAACTTTCCAGCCGTCGGTACGTATCGTAATGAGAAGCAAGTATCTCCCAACTTGTTTTCCTGTGGTACCAGTTTGTCATACAATCAAAGTAAACATACACAATATAGTAATCAATTTGATAAAACAATATTTTATATAGACATTCATTCATATCTAATTCTAATACTTATTCTACTGTGTATCTAAAGCCAAACATTAAGTGTTCATATATTTCATTTAATTTCTCATTCAATTTGTTTTAGGGCTAAAAGTTATTCAATTAATGAAAAATGTCTTGATGGTGTTTCCAAGAAAATTATGTCTCATATTTTTCATTATTAGCGGAGTTTTTACTTTAATTCATGAATTTACTTTAAACAAAATTTAATGTATCTAACAATTTGTAATTTTATTTTATGAAACGAGAATTTATTAATTTATATGTGAAATGTTGGTGAAAAGTAGAACTATATGGGTCGGCATATTTTATGATCAGATTCATTTTGTAGATTTACTTTATACATTGCTATTGTGTCTGACATTGAAATACTAGACCAAAATATCTCAATTATTAGAGCCTAACAAACATGACATAAAATGTTGTGTTATCTTAAAACTCTACAAAAAACTACTCAAAAGATCACTCTTTAACACACGGATCACGTAATACAACAAAAGTAATTGTTTAATGTTAGGCACAAAATTCAATCAAATCTACTGCTTCGTTATTATAACATAGATTACGGTATATGTTATACAAGATTTGATTAAATATTTGTTTTGTTTTGTTTTGTTTTACGAAAAACTTGAATACAATGAATAAAAATACTAAAACTATACAATTTATAAAACAGTATTCCTGGTTTATTATGCAATTTTGTAAATCTATAAAATACATTACAATGATTCTTTTGAAAAACAAATTATAAATGATTTAAATCTTTTGTATTTTGCATTCTGTATTCAACAGAATATTCTGTGTTTGAGATTTCTATTTATTTTCTAGGAATTCGTATTGACTCACCATTCAGTGTGAATTTCAATGGAAAATGTGATGTTTTCTAGATTGAAATGAATGGTAGGATTACCTGTACTTTCATTTCTAGTGCAGACAAACTTGTATTGGAAGTAATGATAAAGATATGAGTGAACCCTAACCTTTGCAACGGCGTGAACACCGAACAACAGATAAGACTAACTCAATGTAATAATCATTGAGAGTTAGTCTACTGTTTATTCACAGTTTATTAATATGATTAGAGCCTAACTCCGGAGCTTATGTTCACTCCATCATGAATGCATGGATTCTCTACGAAAACTGATGTATGAATTAATATGAATGTATGAACACTTAAGTGTGGACCACAACAGGTATGAATGAGACAACAATGACTACCATTTCAAAGATAGAGTGACAGAGAGAGGGAAAGCCCTACTCTAAGCTAATGACTTCTATGACAGTATACGACAGGTATGCTAATGAGGGACACAAATAGGGATGAAATAATTGTTTAGTTTTGAGTTTTGAAGAGAGTTTACGTTTAGCGCAAACGGAGAGAGCAGTGGTTTCACGACACAAATTGAGTGAAAGTTAGTAAATAATGTGAAAATTAGATTTAAGTTTAGAGTAAATCATAAAATCATAACAAAACATAATATTGTAGGGCACAGACACAGAGACAGACAAACAGCCAGTACAAACAATACGCCATCAATACGATATATTGTAATATATAACACAAAATACTTACACAAAGTTTTTGCATTAATCAATTGATGGTATTTAAGTTGCATTTGTTTTTTATTCAATTTTATTGATTTTGATTTTTGGGTGATTTTGTTTTATGATTGTTTATCAGACAAAACATTTCATGAGAATTTCAATGAATTATGTTTAATGCCAATCAATCAAATTCATCAGTCAATTAATGGCCATAAAATTCAATTGAGAATTCATTGTTCAGCCAATTATTAATTAAATTAATTAAGTTTTTTTAATAAAAACATAAGTTTTACATAATATTTCATATGTTTTTTTCGAGGGCGCAGTCGTGTACAGATTTTGATGGTTTTGATAACAAAATCAATAATTTTTGCAATTTTTCGTTTAGTTTTTGGTTTCAAAATCAAGAAATTTTTGAGTGAAAAACGAAGTGAGAGAATGAAAGAGAAAAGAGAGAGAAATCATAAATAAATTAAATAATTCTTAATTAAAAATAAATTATATATTCGTTAGAATTTTTTGGTTTCAAAATCAAGAAATTTTTGAGTGAAAAACGAAGTGAGAGAATGAAAGAGAAAAGAGAGAGAAATCATAAATAAATTAAATAATTCTTAATTAAAAATAAATTATATATTCGTTAGAATAGATATAATATATAATATTATATAATAATTATATTTATAGTATAAATCCATTTCTAACGACTATATCCTAAAACACCGACTCATTTATGCAAAACATATTTTGCAGGCAATATAGAGATGCAGGAAATGAATGGATAAATGGATGTATAATGTATTTATGACACATATATTGGTTTCTAAAGTTTGCCTAAAGTTTGACTCAAACAGACAGTCAACCAAATAATGGCAATAAAAAAATACCAAAAATATGTTGTTTTGGCGATTCATTGAAAACGAGTGGAAATACACATAGAGTGAGTGGACATGCATTTGAAGCACATCTCATGCACTACATTCACAATCGGCAATCAATAACAGCGTATATCACATACAGTCATACAGTATATGAAGCAATGTATGGAAGCGACACGTATATGACACCACTGGCCTACATATCGACCTAACAATTATAGCCTAATATTGTTCACCATTAATATACGCCTAATACTAAAGCTAATGGGACAACGACTATATACAGTACTTATACAGAATTAATATATAACTTACAATAAATATATATATAATATAAATCACGAGTGAATTATACAGTATTTATATGTTTGTAAAACATATACAAAGTATACTATACATTCACGCGTGATAAAATAAACTATTGTAAATATTTATATATTATTTGTGTTATAATTCTAATAAAATAAATATTTTTGTGTAATAATTTAATAAAACAATTAGATAACGACAATAATAGCTGACAACACTTACAACAACTACAAAAAACAAATTGTATTTATACCACAAATAACTAAACTTAATTATACAGTCAATTGTTATGTTGTGTTATTGTATTTAAAATATACTATATCTAATGCAATGCAAGTTGAATATCAAAAGCCATACCTGTCCTTGCTCCCCTTCCACACTAGTCAAGTCTCTCCATTCCTCAATAGTTTGTGCAAGGTCTATTTGATTTAACGGTATCTTAACTTCACCAATTTGATCGTGTTTTGAAAACCTAGTTTCATCATTTTGAGACGATTAAATTAAATTTAATATATTAGACATTTTATGTTTGCTGCTATAAATGCACAATTATTTTATATGTTGACTTCATAACATGTAATCATTTCAAAGAATTATATTAAACAATCTAATAATCTAGTAATACTAATACTGTACTCATACTATTGTTATACAGGAAAGTGCTCTTTAAGGATATGTTTCATGAGTGATATTAATGTAATTTATATACCAGTATAAAGTAAAAGTTACCAAATTCTTGTCACTATTTTAAATCTACAAACATCGAGATGACAAAATGGATTTATTTTTCCACATTTTAATGAAAAATAATGCTTATTAATTTGCTGACACTATTTTTTGTAAAACTGAATAAGAAAGCACATTCACATATATATAATATTAGAATTTATTTTAAATGTATAGTAAATAAATTGTATGTTTTGTTGTGTACCGTACAGTAATATTTTTAATATGGTTTATCAAAATAGCTTAGAGTATTTTACGGTAATTTGAAATAAATATACACCTACTCATTAAAATAGCTTTTGTATGTCTCGAATATTCTTAAAACATTTTATTTTAGTTAAGAAATACTTTGTAGATGTTTACTTGTTACTTTCAATTCCAAACAACATATTGATAAATTTATATAAATATCAGATACATATTTGCATCTAAAAGTTTGTATATACAATTGACCATACATTATAAATTTTAAGGCCTTAAGACAACCAATATGAAGCCAAACACAAATTTAGAAATCAGTAATAATAACATAAAAATTGATAAAACACTTACCGATCAAAATCATAGACAGCAAATACAAGGGTTTTTGTAGTTATCTCTGCGTACGGAACCTATAATACAATTACATAAATACAGTTGTAAAAGTTAAGAAAAAGATTGTGCACTAAAAATACACAATTAAAATTACCTTAAAATTAAATGTTTCGTTGAAAACTGGATTTAATGTCTTTCTGTGAACTTTTGTCTCAAATTTCTTTTTTTTGTCGGGTAAGAGATAGACCTGTTTGTGAAATATTAGAGAGAATTAAAAACGAATCAATTTATAAGTACAATCCAATATAAAATGTCATTTATTTAGCAGTGATATCGCCATTAATAATAATATATTATACAATACCTTAACATAAGGATCACTCGTTCCAGACATGTCGAGACCGGGAAGTTCTTCTGCTTGCAGTACTGATACGGATAACTGTAGAGATAAATCACATTATATAACAAATATATTATTAATTTAATTTTCACTTTTTTCAACTATAATTAAATATTTATCACAATTTGTCATTCAAACTGACAACTAACATTATATAACCTAACATATACTGTAAATATCGTATTTTCATTATTTAATAATAATATATTTACATGAAAATCAATCTAAACTCTTAAATAATTTCTAAGATTTTTATATTATATGCTTTTATAAATCAATTATTTTCCATTATTTTTTAATAAACTTATATTATATATTATATAGTAAATACAGTAAAAAATTTCCTAATTAAATTATTAATATAAAATTTTTCATAAATCCTTGTTTCGAAATATGCTTTTAAGTTTTAGAGTATAAAATATATACAGTATTAGGCAATATAAGTTTACGGAGACATGAAAATGTTTAAACGAATTTCAGAATATTTTTCAAAACCCAATTACCGTATATATATATTTAATATGTTTCAAATATTCAAAATTTCTATTTTAAGTTTATAAAAAATTCAATATCTTTCAGTCAATTCTATTATTTATATTAATAATCAAAATACACAAAATCTATTATAACTTGCAAAATCAATTATTATAAATAATATATTATTGTTTATTATATTAATATTTAAAAATTCCTGTTCTAAATAGCAATATATGTATGCAAATTATATAATATATTCATAAAAAAGATATTAAAATTCAAATTAAGTAATTAAAATAGATCCAGATATTTTTTGTTTGTAATCAAGTAATTGCTAATTAGTCCATAAATATTATGTATGCCCTCATTTGTTTACTACATATTTAAAGGCTATACCAAAAAACCTTTAATTGACTCAATGAGGGCTCAATTAAATATTGATCTAACAATATATTTTGTTATAATATATCTTAATATTTAAATAAAATGCAAATGTTATATGAAAGTAAAGAAATAAATTATTTAATATAAGATGACAAATCGTATGATATATTTAATCATTTAATTTATGACATAATCTCTGATTCCGTTGCTAAGATATTTAAACATTTCTATGAACTCATCAATATGTTATTAAATTAGACTTAATTGACTACATATAATGAAAATTTTTGCACAAAAACATTTTAAAGGATTCTTTAAGATAAGGTTTTGCACTCAAATAGTTGCCTTTGTTTGAGTAAAACTGCTAGATACAATTACAAATCGAGTGAAACCTTTTAAACACATTAGGATTCCTTTGGGATGTAAGTGAAACCATTAAATTGAGAAGTTATAGTAGAATATAAGAAAATTTGTTATAATTGTCTTATTTTAATATTCAACAATACAGTCTACACTACAATTCAGTGGGAGTTTGAGCATAAAATTTAATTTAATTTAAAAATTATGATTGAGAAGTTATAGTAGAATATAAGAAAATTTGTTATAATTGTCTTATTTTAATATTCAACAATACAGTCTACACTACAATTCAGTGGGAGTTTGAGCATAAAATTTAATTTAATTTAAAAATTAAGATATATTCAATATTTTAATTATAATTTATTGCAGAATATTAAATATTGAACTTGAATTTTATAAGTAGTGCCCACACAGACTAGTAGACTAGCATTTTAAATATGATTATATCTAATGTTTTAAATAATTCTATGAATAATTTGTTTCTTTAAAATATAAATATATTAGTTCATCCGATTATGGACTACATTACTGAGTCTACCCCTCCCGTCCCCTTTTTACGGGCATTCATGAGTTGTAAGCAAATACCAGACATCACATCAAAATCATCTTTTGAGACAAAATCAATGCGAATGACTGCCAATAGAGTGAAGACTACATTGAATTAAAGTAGTCATTCAATTCATACATATGTGTGTGGGTGTGGAATGCAAGCACCGTTACATGATTATACCTGTGCATTTCACATATACTTCAATGTTTAGGCACTATACTCAATCGTAATACATAATAATTCTGTATGTATTTGAGTGCGTGTATACAACTCTGTAACAAAAACCTTTTATTTCCAAAATAGATATCGAAATGAAAGTCTTGATTGAAATCTTACATATTATTCAATAAAAAAGGGGTCAGTCTATAATAGTAAATTTATCAATAGTTTTATATGTTATGCCAATTTTTTGGTTTCTTTTAAAAAATTAAATTATTTTAATATCTTAATTTTGTGGAATATTATTACTAAAAATTTATTACTATACGTTATAAACAAAAATATAGTATTTTAAAAATCAATATAAACTCAGCATTTATTGTGAGAAAATGGTCGGGAAGTGTATGAAATTTGGAAATGGTTTTACGTGTTAATAGGCTTTTAAGGCAACAAAATTGCATCTATTCTTAAGGCTGTTGTCAAATAAAGAAAAGAGAAGTTGAACTCAAAATTACCGTTTTATAGGACACGTCGTAATGTTAAGTCTGATCAAGTAATTTAATACTTAATTAAATACTTCACTCAAACATGTTTTCGTACAAAACGCTAATTTAAATGTTTTGTCAACAAAATTAAACAAAACAATAAAATTGTATTTGATTTGATTTAAAGTCAAATTTATTTTTATTTTTCTGGCACTAGGCATGCATTCAAATTAACATTAAATGCTACGTTATTATGTCTATATACAATTGTATTGAGCTGAACATCACTATTATTCCCACTGTAATATATCACATACATTTGCATTAACTGCCAATAAATGTCAAAAATTATTAAATTTTCTCATTAAAGGTTTGCTTTTAGTAAATCTATTCAGTAATTGTCAGCATTACAATTAATATTATATAATATTATTTCTATCATTATTTGAATGAACAATGTTTTAAAGTAAACTTGAAGTTTAAATTTTCTCATTAAAGGTTTGCTTTTAGTAAATCTATTCAGTAATTGTCAGCATTACAATTAATATTATATAATATTATTTCTATCATTATTTGAATGAACAATGTTTTAAAGTAAACTTGAAGGAAAATATTCAGATACTACTTTAAATTCTGACTAAAAACATAATAAAACAATTAAATGTTTCAAGTTTGTAATACTGTAATATAGTACAGTACACTTATGATTAATAAATAAATATTCTAATAAAAGTAGAACTAATAATCTAATTAAAAATAATTAGTTAAATTAAAATTCTTGATATTATGACCGATAAGAATAATATTATCTTTTCGGAATAGAAATTAATTTCATAAAAACACATGAATGTCATTTCATAAAATTACACCATGAGAAGTATCTGAAATTTTATAAAATGAGAAATTGGAAATATTTTTTCTTAGGTTACTAATTGGTATTAATAATACTAATGTAAGTCAAAAATTGTCTATTGTGCCATGAATAAAATCATTTAATTAATTTAGTAATTAGTGTCTATACTGGTATTAAAATATTATATAATAATAATATGTTTTTTCTCATTTGAAGTCTTATCAAAAAGTAACTTTCTTAATTTTTTTAATTGGCTTATTTTATTAAAAATTTTCGTAAAATAGTAATAGATATAATATCAACATACTTAAAATTATATGAAAAAACACAATATATAACAAATATTTTATATTCAATGCATACATAATTTTCCAGAAATAATTATCATACATTGTCATTGATTTTTTCATATTATCATAAGTTAAGTATTTTTTGCTATTTTGTAAGGATTCTATAATAAACTAAAAATAAAACATTGTTTTATATTCTAAATATTGCAATAATAATGACTGTTCTGTACTGTACCTGAAATAAATTGGGTACAGTAAAGTATGCACTTTGAGTACAGAATATACTTATTTTGCAAAATATTATGTAGATTACTGTTTAGATGCCATACTTTAAGTATTTGTAATTTATNATTATGTAGATTACTGTTTAGATGCCATACTTTAAGTATTTGTAATTTATATTCATAGCTCATACCCTAATCATTGATAACATAATTTGAATAAAAAGTACAACTCACAAGAAAATTTATTTATAACACATAATATTGATGAATTATTATAATTGTAATAATAATATAGTACTGTATAAGTATGTGCACTCACATTAGCCTGGTTGAAATCATAGTCTATCTTGAACTGAAGTCTGCCTAATTTGACCTCTTCTTTGGTGGACTCCTTGTCGTTCTCGTTGTCCTCCATATTAGCCGCCAGTTCCTCCATATCCGGCTGAACCTAACGGTTATCAAACATATTTGTATTCACATTCTCTAATCTTTTATCAATACATAAATCAATATTAATCCTTATGTAATAAAATTATTATTAAAAATGTTGTACTTGTGATATATAGCATCTTGTTATTTATGATTTGAATATAAATCATAATAAATTATGTAATTATAATATCAAATGCATTTATTATGACTGATATTTGGTATAATCTTTAAAAAAATCTCGTATTAATTAATTTATGTAGATTACTGTTTAGATGCCATACTTTAAGTATTTGTAATTTATATTCATAGCTCATACCCTAATCATTGATAACATAATTTGAATAAAAAGTACAACTCACAAGAAAATTTATTTATAACATATAATATTGATGAATTATTATAATTGTAATAATAATAATACAGTACTGTATAAGTATGTGCACTCACATTAGCCTGGTTGAAATCATAGTCTATCTTGAACTGAAGTCTGCCTAATTTGACCTCTTCTTTGTTGGACTCCTTGTCGTTCTCGTTGTCCTCCATATTAGCCGCCAGTTCCTCCATATCCGGCTGAACCTAACGGTTATCAAACATATTTGTATTCATATTCTCTAATCTTTTATCAATACATAAATCAATACTAATCCTTATGTAATAAAATTATTATTAAAAATGTTGTACTTATGATATATAGCATCTTGTTATTTATGATTTGAATATAAATCATAATAAATTATGTAATTATAATATCAAATGCATTTATTATGACTGATATTTGGTATAATCTTTAAAAAAATCTCGTATTAATTAAATTCTTTTAATTAAATAACAGAAATTTCGTTTTTGTAAATAATATATGAATGTTATGTAATCTCAATGTAATTCAATATCGATGCTTATTTTACTTATAGTCCTTTTGTAAGTATTTGTCTGAAAACATATTTTTTGACACAATTATGGCTCAATGTTATCATAATTTGGATTCAATGTTATCCATCACATCAAAGCCGGTCTAATATTTTGTTAATCATCGCTAACTTAACTAATATCAAGGTTTTGATTCACAGCCATAGTTATGGTTTCTATTATGTATTGTTTATAAATTTGATTAAACGTTTAATTTTGTCGCATCTGTTATGTGTATTTACTATAATTTAATTTTACATAAATAATTTAGTTTTCAAAAATACTGATTATATGTTTGCCATTAATTATAAATGCTGTATTCATGGCATTCATTGGATTAACAAACAAATCATTAAACATATTGGCGTTCAATGTGTTTGAATTAGAGAGAAATAAAATTATGAGTAAAAGTAGTTATTTTTATATTAATATTTATTCGCCTAAAATGATTAAATAAATGAACAAAAATCTATATTTTGATAGTTGAGTCAAATTCAAGTAAACTCAAGTACTGTTTGTTTAACTACTTATTACGGGAGTTATTACTTTATATTTTGTATTGACATTACAGGAAAAAAATATAAGTTAACCAAAGAATTGAAAAAATATTTTTCATTTCAAAGTTAATTAACAAGTGTTTGCTCTCAGATGTATAGTCACTACACTGACATTCCCTCTTTGAATGCCTCTAAAACAAGAAACTAATGACTGAAATATGAACCAACCTTTTCCTTATAGGCCTGTCCCAGGAGTTGTACGGACCTGAGGTCAACTTTGCCGCCCATAAACCCCTTTCCCTCTTTGCCCCTAAACTTTCTCCACCAGCGCTGTAGGAAGCAGTAGAAGACGACGAGAAAGACGCCAACGATGACCAGGAATATGAAAAAGACGCCCCAAAAGGGAATGTGTGTCTTCTCGGCCACGGCTTCCATGATCTTCTCGCCCGACTTCTCCATCCTGACGATCATGCCTTCCGTGACCACCGGCGCCGCTGTAGTCGTTGTGGACAGCGTGGAGGCAATGGTGCCGGCGATCGTCGAACTAATACTGTTGGCGGTGACCGTCTCATCCCTATCGGCGATGGCCTGGCCCTGAGCTTCGGCCGCACTGATGGGCGCCGTCAGCAGCCGTTTGATGAGAAGGCTGTTGGAGAAGTGCGGTTGTGTTAAATACGGCGGCATTTGGACCACTGTTTGTGGTCACGGGTGTGATGTGACCCACAATCAGACAATCACACGAATGCGCCAAACGGTGTCACAGATCTGTCACGGAATCGACACAATTGTCACAAATGATAGGAATTTCGAAAAGAGATAATCAATTGGATTTACATTTGGATTAAAGAGAGTGTTGTGACCACCAATACATCGATATCTTGCGCTTATCGGACAAATTGTGGCAAAAATATGGGAACAAAATCAAAGAATGGTATCCAAAATGCCTGAACTGGCCTTATCTTTCATGTCTGAGCACTGATGTCATGTATGTATGAGTGAGAACTGCCTGCGCTATGGTTAGGATGTGCTGCGTGTGTGTGTATGTGTTATGACGTGCCAGTATTGATCTACCTTAGCAACGGACACCCCGTGCTAACAGCGCTTAAAACGGCCAAACCTTTTGCCATAACACACAACACTGTATTTCACTGAATACTGTATTTTTGTGCCCAAAATGCTCTTCACTCTAATAACTAGAGTATTATTCCTTATGCAAGAGTTTGCGCTCATCTCGGATCAAGTTATTCACGTTTTTATTACTTTCCATTCAATAAGTCAAATGAGTGAACAAAATATGATAACATACTTTTCTACATTATACTTTCTCAATTGATTTTCAATTATATCCACTATTTTTGTACTATTAATATCTCAATATTCACTGATTTTGTTGCGATATTTGACATATTCTTGTATTTACTTGTATTAACTCGAATTCTTTAAGATTAAAAGAATATTAAATATACTGCAATATTTTTTAATGTAATTTTCCAGTTGAATCATTATTTTAATAACGTTATGAAAAGTTACATCAATAAATAATGCTGTTTCATTTGTGTTTACAACACTTATAAACAATTAAAATGAATTGAATAACAAAATTTTCAGTGAAAATAGTGTAGATTTTGCATTTCACACATCCCTATAGTCTTTTTATGTACTATACATAGATCTAAACTTTTTTACTGTATTATTTAAATTATAATTTTTAAATATTGACGATTTATTAAAGCTTTAAATAAATTATGCAGCACTTAAACACGTATTAAAATAATACAACAAGAGTATATAAATTAATAGCAAATATAATAAAAATGAGTTTATCGACCGAATATTAATTAATTGCTTAACTTATAAAGAGTACATATTTGGGGGCATTTGTTTGTTTAATTGAAAAACAAATGTTTATTTCATATGGAGCCACAGGCATGAATTATTAATAATTATTAAATCATATTTAGATTCCTTCACAATGTGTGCTCTCTTCCTGAAAATATTATACAACAAATACATTATTAAATCATATGTTATTTTTAATTAATTATCACTAAAATAGGTTATTAAAAAACTTATATAAATATTTCTAATTCAACTTAAACATGAAATCCAAGTTACATTTATTACGAAGTAATAAGTATTGTTATATAATATAACTTATATTATAAATAAAAATATTGGTATAAAGATCATTATGCCATTTAAGTTATCTGCTGTTACTTGAAAAATAAAATAATTTTAATGTCAAATGAAACCCATATTAACTTTAATGTTTATTAAATTATATCATTGTTATTTTTGTATGAGTTTTGTTTGAATTCCTGCAATCTGACTATCCATTAAAAGTCAGATTAACAGGCATATAATTAATCATGCAGATATAGTATATCTGATATACGATATATTATTATATCTTTAAAATTGGGTTTAAAAGCATATTTTTAAATTATAATTTTTAGTTTGAGAGAGAGAGAGAGAGAGAGATTTAATTGTGAAAATGTTTTGAAAGACATGAAATTTTCCAATCAAGAATCATTTCCAATCTAATTACTGTCTGGACTAATCTAATAATTAGTTTATGATGTGTTTTTGTTTGTGTTCAAACAGGTCTATAAAATATAGATTTGATGACAGAGTATATGTAATCCATTAAAAGTCAGATTAACAGCCATATAATTAAAATCCTTATCATTAAGAGACATGTCTTGATGTCTTGTAAATAATGACCACTATTTCTGTGTTCAATACATCACTACTTATTACATATGAAGTCTTTTCCTCAATCGATAAATACTTTTTGCTAATTTTTCTTTATTAACTGAATATTGTTTTTCGTTTCACTTTCATTTCCTTAATTTGTTTGATCTCACATTTTGATAAGAAATGTTTGAGTCCAATTTCAAAAGTTGTTTTACTGCCCAATGAAATGCAAATATTTTACTATTAAAATTTATAAATCAATTCACACTTTCATTCTCTTCGCATATTTTCACTTCATGTTTGTGTCAAACCTTTAAATCAAATCAAATTCATTAAATTTTTCCGCAGAATATTTGCCTAAAATGTTTCAAGTAATGACTAATATTTCATAATTAATATCATTCCTAGCATTATATTAATAATTATAATACTTATTGTGATTTTCAGTACACAGTTTGGGCTGTGATTTATGTGACAATCATTTTATGGGTTAATCGGGCGGAAGGTGCGACCACTCAGGACTCAAATCCCGACCAAATACTGGAGCGCTTCCTATCGAGTCTAACCAAACAAAGCACTCAAAACACTAATAATCAACCAAAAGATGACAACCGATACATATACACTGAACCCACACCTATACGCCAGCCCCCAGTGGTCCATCAGGAACCAGTTGCGGGTCCTATAGCTTTGGAAGCACCGGTGGCCTGGCCCTACCCGCCCGCACCTAAGAGCTCCGGTGGCTCTGAATTCCCACTTCTCGATCGATTCTTATCGAGCAATGGTATCACTAATTATCGCAACACTTATCCAAGTAATCCAAACCCAGCGCCCATTCAACCGCCCAACCAGTGGAAGCCTATCATCCCATCAACTCAATCACCTATAGGGTTACCACCCCCTCCACCACAACCTCGTCCAACACCTGTTATGATACCCCCTCCCCTTCAGGTGGCCGACAACTGGGGCATAGACCACAACACACGCAATGGTGATCAGCGCAGACATTATAATTTAGATACCGTGCGTCTAAGCGATGGTCAAACCCCTAACATCGACAAACTGAATGTGAGTTTCATAATGGCTCCACACGTCAGACCCCTTAGTCTTAACTTCGATTCCGGAGAGATTGTCGTCGACTTCGGAGACAATTCCGGAAAAATTGGTATGAATTTGAATAACACTTTAAATGAATTTAATGTTTATTTTAAAATTTTCATTCAATATTCAGAAAAAGTTGCTAATTATAAGTCAAAGATTCCGGACTTCGATCAGATATATCGCACACAATCGGATCCCAATAAAGACAAGACCCAAGAGAATGACGAGGAATACATTGTCTTAAGACATGACGTCAATAAATATGCTTACGATATGAACAAAGATGGCAACAATGGAGGCAGTGGTGGTAATACCGGTGCCGCACAACCCATGAATGTCGAGAGATATTCAATTCCGGGCAACAAAGACACTCACTTTGTTTTGGGAAGAGTTTCACATTAAACTCACTTTATTGCCATATTTTGCTCAAATATACTAATATTTATTTATATTTTTACATTTAAATTATAATAAATAAGAGTGCAATTATATAAACAATTAGTTTTAACTAATAAATGAATGTTTTATATTATATATGGAATATTTTTGAAAATACAGTGTTACTTTTATGTGTTTTACTGTAGTAATAATGGTCTGTTTTTTGTTCAAGAGTGATTGATTAATTAAACTGTGTGTTCTTGTTGTTTATTTATATTTCATATTTTAATTTTATAGTTGATTTTTTAATAAATTAATTTATTATTAATAAATATCCTGAAATCCTGTTATAAGTGTTATATAATAACAAGAAAAATTATATGAATATAAAACTTAGTTTATTTAAATAATCTTAATTTTAATATAAATATCAATAATAATTTTATGGATATTTTAAAATACATATGATAAACATGACAACTAGTGATACTGGTCAATCAATATTATTAGAGATACATAACGTTGAGGGTTTTACAATACTTACATACCCCCACTTTCTTACATAAACATATTGTTTTATTGTTCACGCGTATTATTATTAATTATAATTATATGTAATGTTGATATTTATGTCAAAAATATGTAATAGATGTTTACAATTATTATTGTTATGCGTTTAATAAATATACATACATTAAATTATGTTACAGACTAGCCTCAATTGGATTCATTATTGCAAACATATGTTTAAAACTGTTTAGTAAGCTGGTCTAGTTATTCAATCCATTCGTCTAAGCAAATATTTTCAAATATTATGAATACTTTTCAATATACTGTAAGTGAAATCATATAGAATAAGAATTATTGTATCGCTGGATATTCATATACAGTACCTGTAAAATATATAACATTATTTTATTTTATTGGAAGTGTGCTCTTGGTCCATTTAAATAAAAGATACTTAAATGGAAGCTTTATAAAAATAAGCTTAATTGAAATTGTATTCATTAATATGTTATAAATGGAAATAACAAATACATAAATACATAAATAATACTTATCTAAATACAATAGCATTGCGAATTCATAACAAATGTTTATACATGTTTTTCTTAATTGTTTACATAACCAGACCGTTAGATTTAGAGAAGAATTTTAATATTAATTAAATCAATAAGTCATACATCAAGTACTTTACCACTTGTTGAGCATTTCATGTTATTTTAGATCATTTCTTAAGAATATACAGAATTCTTCATTACTTCAAACAATAAATTTTATATTACTCTATATTGTTTGCCGATTAGACAATACATAAAAGTAGATTAGATTTTATTGTATAATAAATGTTGACTTTTTATTGAAGTCAAACCAGAGATTAAGTCTTTAAGTAATCGACTTTTTAAAGGTTAAGGTTTAGAGATAACACTTTTTCTAAGGTTTCCTAAATGTTGTCTACATTTGTTTTTTTTGTTGTCTATAAATTGTTTAATTTTAATTGTTTTTTATTTAAAATAGTCTATTGATAGTCATAATTTAAAAACTATTTCAATTATAAAATTTATGTTGTTGTTGTTGATTATGTTATAATTTATAACTACACCATGTGTTGATTATGCCGACATTTTACTGTGTAATATAATATTAGTATTAATAAAAAGTACTACTAAAATTATAATTAATTTCTAAAATCTTATTTATTTGAATTAAATCTTTCATATCATTTATTAATTATAAGATTAAATGCAAAATTAAAATGTCAAATTTTCTTATAGATTCTGTCATTTATACTTACAGTACATGAGGTGTAGTTTGACT